GATTACACTAAAATACTTTATTCACATTGGATTATGATAACTACCATCATCATCATTGCCTTAACCACCCCCTTTTCCACCATCATCATCGTTGCCACCATCATCACCATCACCACCACCATCACCACCACCATCACCATCACCATCATCACCGCCATCATCACCATCACCATCACCATCATCACCATCACCACCACCATCACCACCACCATCACCATCACCATCATCACCACCACCATCACCACCACCATCACCACCACCATCACCATCACCACCAGCATCATCATCATCACTACCACCATCATCACTATCATCACCACCACCACCATCAGCGCCATCATCATCATCACCAGCATCATCATCATCATCACCATCACCAGCATCATCATCACCATCACATGATCATGATCATGACCATCGCCCCCACATCATCACTGACTACCATCGTCATCACACCATCACCACCACCATTATCACCACCACCATCAAAGCTAACATCCAAAGACCCACTAACACTCTTTTAAAACTTCCAGGTAAAACACGCCCAGGACTGCGGAGCGGTGGGCGCCATTTTATACAACGACCCCGCAGATTTTGCACCAGAAGGCCAGGACAAGGTTTACCCACAATACATTTGGCTCCCAAAGACTGGTGTCCAGCGCGGTAGCATATTTAATGGTCGTGGAGATCCTCTGACCCCTGGCTTGCCATCCGTAGATGGAGTATTCAGACTACCCGAAGATAAGGCTAACCTGCCCAAAATCCCAGCCACCCCGATGCCTTATGGAGACGCTGTTGAAGTCTTGAAAATCATGGAAGGTAAAGCATTGTTCAATCATAGTCAATAGAATAAAAGAAGGTTAGGGAACTCGATGCAGACATCATATGCCAGACATAAAGGCAAAGCTATCGACGAGAAGGACTATTCAATCATAGTCAATAGAATAAGACAGACACAATGAGTTTGCTACACTACTCTTACACACAGACAACTTGATAACTCTATCATGTTGTAAACTATTCTCTCTAGAGATCCAGTAAGTGTCGTCAACGATGTTGGTATCACTTGAACTATAGTCAATAGACTAAGAAGGTCAGGGAACTCGATGCTGACACAATAGATCTCATTGTCTATGTTTTTGTCTTGGTTTATGCAAAAAATGGTCGGTTCATCGTCACGTGTGTATTGTTTTTTCGCCCAACCAACCAATAGCAGTGTTTTCGTTTATTTACCTAGTCGTGATACGATGAACTGGGTATTTCTTGCATAAACCAAGACAAAAACATAGGTAACGAGGTTTATTATGCCTCGGCATCGAGTTCTCTAACCTTCTTATTCTATTGACTATAGTTCAAACGATGCCAACATTGTCGACGACACTTACTGGATCTCTAGAGAGAATAGTTTACAACTGATGGAGCTATCAAGTTGTCTGGGTGTAAGACCAGTGTAGTAAACTCAAAATGTCTATAATCTTTCACTACAGGTAGAGAAGTCCCCAAAAGTTGGCAAGGGACATTAAACATCCCTTACAAACTCGGAGATGGCGGCCTCAAGAACAACACTGTAAAAATAACAGTCAATGTCCCTAACAAACGACAGAATGTGTACAATGTCATAGGCACTATATATGGCAAAGAGGAGCCGGATAGATGGGTGTTGATAGGGAATCACAGGGATGCTTGGGGATTCGGAGCAGTAGATCCATCGAGTGGTACATCTGCCATGATGGAAATTTCTCGTGGTCTGGGCGAACTTTTGAAACAAGGTGGAAGCAATAGATGAAAGTATTCATATATTATTAAGTTAGGATTGGATACTGTGCTATGAAGCTATCAATGATCATAATCATTGTAACTATTAGTCCATTACCATGATCACTAAAATCACAATTAGCACACACCATTATAATCACCACCATCATCACCACCATCATCATCACAATCACTATCAAAATCATCATAATAACCACCATCCCCATCATCATCATCACCACAATCATCACCACCAGCATTATCACCATATAACATCTCTTATTCTTCTAAAGGTTGGCGCCCAAGACGTACCATCAAATTCTGCAGCTGGGGGGCAGAGGAAGCAGGCTTTATTGGCTCAACAGAATGGGTAGAACAAAACGAACGAGCGTTATCAACAAAAGCTGTCACTTACATAAACGTCGACAGTGCTGTTGATGGGAATCTCACACTACAACTGTCCGGCTCCCCCCTGCTAAAGTCTCCAATCACAAAAAATGTAAAAGAAGTGAAAGACCCTCACGGGGGGAATGTATACGAACAAATGGTTAAAGCAAAAAAGGAATTTACTTATAAAAACTTGGGATCCGGTTCGGATTATGCAAGTTTTTATCAATTTGTTGGTATGTTTATTAAAACTGATAGAGCTATCCAGCGGAAATAAAGTTTGTTTAGTTTAGGTTTCCTCCTGTAGTAACACTGGATCAATAAGAGATGATCCTTGCTAGACCTCTAGGAAGAACAGTTTAGAACTGATAGAGCTATCCAGTATAAATAAATTTAGTTTAGTTTAGGTTTCCTTCTGTAGTAACACTAGATCAATAAGAGATGATCCTTACTGGACCTCTAGGAAGAACAGTTTAGAACTGATAGAGCTATCCAGTGCGAATAATGCTAGTTAACTTAGTTTAGTTAAAGGTGATCTACAGTCCGTATGTAGACAAAGCCTTTGTTTACATTTTTGTGTCCAAAACATTGAGCTTTATTCGACAACTATTTATATTTTCAAGCTTCTATAGAGTATAATAAATGATCAAGAAACAACAATCAGGCTTTTCAAGAACTTAAAACATAGTTAAACTGTTTGTATCATAAAAAGTGGGCTCATTTGTGCACATGCGCAGGTCGGACTGTAGATCACCTTTAAGGTTTCCTTCTGTAGTAACACTGAAACAATAAGAAATAGCTCATACTGGACCTAGAACTGTTTCTAACTTATCGAGTTATCCAGTATAAATAAAGTTTGTTAATTTCGTTAACTATGCTTGCTTGTAAACAGTTTTCATGTTCCACAGGAGTGCCATCCTTGGATATGAATTACGCTGGAAAAGTGTACTATCCTGTCTACCACACCGTCCACGACACATATAAATGGCTTCAAGGTCTGATCGACCCTAAGTTTGTGTACCACCTAACTACGGCTAGAGTTGCCTCGAAACTCCTCATGTCTACAGCGGATAGCTTCGTGCTGCCTCTCGATGTGACAGATTATGGAAAGTCTCTGGATAGCTCTCTTGAAACGTTGAAGAACAATTATGGTGCCGAGCTTCTAAAAAATAATGTCAGCTTGGTGTATATTGAGGACGCAATTGAAAAGTAAGATTTGATAAAAAATATTCTTACATTTCAAAACAGTTTAGAAAGAAGTGATAGAGCGAATAGTTTAGAACTGCTAAAGCTATCCAGTATAAATAAAGTTAGGTTAAACGCCAGCCAAATGAGCATGAGCGTTGATAAGAGTTGCAACTATTGTCTGACCGCCATCAGCATTCACAACATTCTTCTTTCTTTGTCTACAGATTCAAAGACGAATCAACAAAATTCCAAGCTGAGAAAGGCACAGCTATCGACAAGAAGGACGACATCAAACTTCGAGCTCTGAACGACAGAATGGTCAACGTCAAAAAAGCCTTCATCACTGCGGCTGGTCTGCCTAACCGACCAATGACAAGGCACGTTATATTCGCACCTTCAGTCAACAATGCATATGGTAGCACCAGCTTCCCTGGGATTTCAGATCTTGTTGTAAAACAGAATAAGACGGATCAGGATTGGCTGGATATTAAGAGGCAAACATCCATTGTGTTTAAAGCGATTTCGGATGCTGCTAATACTCTGAAAGCTGACGCGAATTAGAAAGAGAACGGTCTCGTAAAAAGACGAGATTTCTTCAATATGGCAAATTACCCTATCAGTGGGTCTTGATAAGCATTAAGCTCTAGAGGGTCATACGAGAATGAGAGAGTTGGCAAGCGAGAGTTTGCATGAGAGTTTTCTCAACTTTCATAATTAACCTGTCAAACGAGAACGAGAGTTGATGATAGTTAACTGCATATTACCACGCAGAACAAAAACCTTCATCAACTCTCGTCAAAATTTGAACTAGAGGAAAGTTGAAGCGATGAGAGTCATATGCATCAACATTTATTTTCGTTTGACCAGGCTTTACAGCACAACAGACTTTGGTTTGAAAGTTCAATACTGACATGAACAAAGAATTCACTCATACAAAACTTGTACATTGAATAATGTACATTATTTTCTCACTCTGATGACAGCAGGTTGACCACCATCTACTCCACTATAGCGCTTAGCGAAATCTACCTTATTTCAGATTTGACTTTGCAAGAAATCTCATCAAATGCGGACAAAAATGGAACTTAAATTGTTCACTTATGTGGTCTTATCAGTTTAAAAGAACTCGACTCGGTATGGAGCATTTACCACGATTTTTCACTCGATATCGCCCAGAATTACCAGAAAATATAGTTGTAATTTCACACACTAATTTTATGTTAATCTATAATTCATGCCATGATTAGTTTTAAGTTAGTAGCAAATAAAATACGACCACTGTGGATGTCTGTGTTGGGTTTTCGTCATAAATATATGTTTAGCGTAGTTGTTTACGTATTCTCAAATCTACTTCTTACGTCATTCGTGTGAAGATATAAGGGATATAGCATACAATCTTGAACTGTCTTTGCCAGTGTAGGTAGCTCCAATCAAATTATATTAATCAACAAACTTTCGTCAGTAGGGATGTAACTACCTGAAAATATACAAGGAGACTTTCGACGTTTCGAGCGAAGGTCCTTCGAAATTCCCCTTATATATATATTTTCAGGTAGTTGGATCCCTACCAACGAAAGCTTGTTTATATAAGCATACAAGCAGTGAATCGATTGAACAACTTGCATAATAAAGTGACACGTGCATGTATCTATAAAAAAGGTAGGTTCCCGATGAAGGTCCTTCGCTCGAAACGTGGAAGTTGTGTTAATTTTTAAGGAAGAATTTTTCAGGTGATTGTATCTCCCTCACACATCAGTTATTTCAAATTACGCATGACTACGCAAATCGGTAAATGGTAAATGTAAATTTTTATGAGTGGAGCCAGGCTGAGGTATTTATGAATATACATATGCTTGAATACATGCTGAGAATCATTTGACCAAACTTCATACAGCAGAGTTCGAAACACGTTTTATTATAAAAGGTGAGTGTTTGGGAAATGTAGCCATACTTTAATTAATCATTATATATATAGCCATATCTTAAGCATTACCAACGGCACCGATATAAACGCTGTCATATATGGTATTCAGCAGAGATAAGATTAGCTGATTAGTTGAAGTATATTAAAAATATATATGGAATATATGGAGAGTCCATTAATTTCCACCTCTTAACATCTTATAGAAGAGTCAAGCGCGCATCTACGACCTACAAACCTATCGCCGATAGAGTGGGTTGAATCACGGATTGAACAGTTTGTACAGTGTAATAAGACTGTAGTCAACTCAGCTGTGCAAATATTTGGGGCAGTGTTTGTAACACGACGTGCCACAACTTGACTATAAATTATCGAATCGAATTCTGACAACATTAGCTTCAATATGGCTGCAGCAACATTAACAAGGGGACGAATTGTTGGTATCGTGGTGGCTGCCATTGTATTATTCGTATTGGGTTTCGTAATAGGCTGGGTATCGGCGCCGAGCGATGAGGATTCCAGTGAAAATTATGATATGAAATACATTTCGAAGAAACGTAAAGAGGAGATGAAGACAAAAAATGGTTTCCATGAAAAGTTCCTTGAAGTTATAAACGCGAATAAGATCGGTGAAAATCTTAGGTGAGTGATATGACGAGGCTTGGATTAAATTCCAACGTGAAGTGGACCGTGGGATGATTTGCATTATGCATATAGTTAATTCTTTCAAGGAGAAAATTTCCGCAGCTCTCATGCTGTAGTGTTACTATAGAAGGAAACGGAAGTGCTCTCATAAAACATAAGGTGTTGCAGAGTCGAACTGGAACGAATCTTCTCATATGCGACGGCTGAGATGAAAATATAATCAGACAACTGTATAGGAATCAAACCAAACAAGTCATAGAATTGAAAAGTCCGTATTTCAGTGGTATTGAATACCTCACACAATAAAAGGATTAGTGTCAGGGTCATGCATTGCGGGCTTTTGTTATTGTTTACATTTTACTCAAATACAACAAATAGCGATAAAAATACCTTGTTTGGCACATTTCTGATACAAATCAGACAAAAAGAGCAAGGATTATGAAAGGATGCATGGTTTAAATATATGACGGATTGTAAAAACTTTCCAGATCATCTAATCTATTCGTCCCAAAAAATGGCCGCCAGCAGGAGTTTGAGCCTGCGAATTCCTGGTGTGACACTAATCCTTTAATTAAAACCCCGCTTTCACAAAGCCAGCGGACTAGAGCTCTGATAATGATGACTATAACCATGGTATGGTAATGATGGTGATGATGGTGGTGATGATGATGATGGTGGTGATGATGATGATCATGGTGGTTATGAGGATGGTGGTGGTGATAGTGATCATTGTAACCTTGGTGATAATGATAATGATGGTGGTGATGATGATGATAATGGTGGGAAAATGTAGTGATGATGATGGTGGTTATTATGGGTGATGATGGTGGTGATATTGATGGTGGTTACGATGATGGTGGGTGATGCCGATGACGGTGGTGATATACCCATACGTTTCGTTCACAGGTATTTCTCAAAGCGACCCCATATTGGAAGTACTCCGCGATCCAAAGAACTGGCAGATGAGATAGAAAAACGATGGCGCGAATACAAGTTCGATAAAGTAGAACAACCGAAATATAATATCCTCCTACCTTACATTGACCCCGATGTCTCCAATTCCGTACAGATTTTGAATTCCAGCGGTGACGTGACTTACGAGTTTTCTGGAAAAGAGAAGGTATTTTAATTTACATACTTGTTTAAAGCCATCGTCAAGGCCTACTGCAAATTCGATGAAGGTTTTCCATTCATATCCAAAACTCATAACCGTAAAACCTCGATCTGTAGGCGTGAAATAACACAGTGGATGTGTTTATTTCTCTTTGTTCATGTTGCTGTTTTTTCTTACCCATTTACGCTCGATTATATCTGTGCGCGGATTGTGCTTGTTGCGCATAGAGGTTGAGGTTTTGCCGTTTTTAGTTTTCATTTTGAATGGACAACCTTAAAGTGCGACTAACAACAAAGATGACTTTGCTGGTTGATCGTATTAAACCTACTTTTCAATTCTCCAGCTAATATTTAATTTCTCTCTACTTTTCAATGCTTAAGGTGGTAGACCCGAGCGAAAACGACTCTACGATGATAGCACCTTTACTGGGGTTCGCCAAGCAAGGGTCGGCCGAAGGGAAACTGCTGTATGTGAATTATGGAACATGGGACGATTTTCAAGAATTGAAACATAACTTTGGTATCTCTAACTGCAGCGGCTACATTGTCATTATGAGATATGCAGTTATATATCGCGGTGCCCAGGTTAGTAATTGCTACGTGCCATTGTCTTCACTGCAGTCATCATCAATCCCTTTACCACCATCATGGTCATTCATCACCACCACCTTCAAGTGCCACCATCATTATTACCACCATCACCACCTCCACCTATCATTATCAATCCTAAAAAGACCAAAACTATAATTTTCTCGACTTATCAACTTGCGACCTCGCGTCAACTCAACGAACATCAAATCAACATATCTGTGGACTGTGTCCCGTTGGAGAGGACTACAACAACCAAATTTCTAGGAACCGAGTGAACTCACCAACACCACCATCATTATCACAACCATCGTCACCATTATCACCACCATCATTATCACCATCATCATTATCACCATCATCACTGCCATGACAGCTAACATCCTAAGATTCCTACAACATTCTTGCAGGTAAAACACGCCCAGGACTGCGGAGCGGTGGGCGCTATAATATACCACGACCCCGCTGATTATGCACCCGAAGGCCAGGACAAGGTTTACCCACAATACATTTGGCTTCCAAAGACTGGTGTCCAGCGCGGTACCATACTTAGTGGTCGTGGAGATCCTCTGACCCCTGGCTTGCCATCCGTAGACGGAGTATTCAGAATACCCGAAGATAAGGCTAACCTGCCCAAAATCCCAGCCACCCCGATGCCTTATGGAGAGGCTGTTAAATTGTTGAAAATTATGGAAGGCAAGTGGAATGATTTGAAGTTAAATTTAATATTTAATACTAAACAAGGTTCGTGCAACTTCATAAAATCCTGGACCTTCAAGTTTTCCAGGGGCATTTGAAATATGACAAACGTTATTTCGCCAATAAGCCGAGCAAATTTTCACTATGTTTCAAATAAGGGACCGTTCATTATTTATACCCGGGGTTGGTACCGAAGATATATGGGTTGGGTAATCAAGTTTTTGTCGACTAGCTCATGGGTTGGGTGAAAAAAATTATGGCTGTCTGTCAGCTATAATATAAAGCCAAAATTACATTGCATTGGAAAATATGAAGAAAAATGTGTACAATACATTCTGTACCAAAATAGACCATCAGTGATTGAGGAAGGACTCTATCATTGATCAGCAGGAACGTGATTGCTTCGGCACACTCAGTGCATGAGTTTGAGTGTGCTTTTAGAATTTAGGCAACTTGATTTCTGTCACCGTGATCTTGTGTGTTTAATTATTACGAAGTACAGTAACACAGGGCTTGGATAAACATTATTTTTACCATTGTTGAGGTTGGTTAAATAAAACATTTACGCTGTTTTTCGCTTCTCTTCGGTACCAACCCCAGGTATAAATACTGAACGGTCCCTAATCATCGCAATCAAGTGATATCACTATGGAAAAAGATCACTAAGATCGAGAGATGCTGTATACGCAAGAAAGTTTTGTAGTCAATCTTATTGGAACAGAATGGCCCCTATGGAACTTCTAGGAAGGACAGTTTAGGACTGATAGAGCTATCCAGCAGAAATAATGTTCGTGGATTTTCTTCCTGACTGATAGAGCTATCCAATGTGTATGTAGTTTAGTGTAGTTTTCCCACAGTAACACTGATCTAGGGATGTCTAGGGAAACTGTTTAGAACTGATAGAGCGATAATAGCAAACTCAAAATGTCTATAATCTTTCCAACTGTAGGTAGAGAAGTCCCCAAAAGCTGGCAAGGGACATTAAACATCACCTACAAACTCGGAGATGGCGGCCTGAAGAACAACACTGTGAAATAACAGTCAACTTCCCTAACAAACGACAGGATGTGTACAATGTCATAGGCACCATATATGGCAGAGAAGAGCCGGATAGATGGGTATTGATAGGAAATCACAGGGACTCCTGGGGATTCGGAGCGGTAGATGCATCCAGTGGTACATCTGCCATAATGGAGATTTCTCGTGGTCTGGGCGAACTTTTGAAACAAGGTATTGTGGCTACAGATGATAAGATATATGTTTAAATTAGAATTATATTTTTCAACTCCCAAGAAACTGTCTTTATCATTATCATTATCAGCATTGATTATAATCATTTTCAACATTATAAACAGAACAATATATGATCATCGTTATCATCACATTGATCATCGTCATCACCACTACCACAACCATCATCAGCATCCCCCCATCATCATCACTATCCAACCGTCATCACCATCATCTCCACCACAATCATATTCATCATCGTCACCATCATCACCATTACCATCATCACCAATACACATCCCCTCTTCCTTTGCAGGTTGGCGCCCAAGACGTACGATCAAATTCTGCAGTTGGGGGGCAGAGGAATCAGGCATGATTGGCTCAACAGAATGGGTAGAAGAAAACGAACCAGCGTTATCAACAAAAGCTGTCACTTACATAAACGTTGATATTGCTGTCGATGGGAACCTCACCTTCCGACTGGCCGGCTCCCCCCTGCTGAAGACTCCAATCACAGAGAAGGTTAAACAAGTCACAGACCCACACGGCGGGAATGTATACGACCGAATGGTTAAAACGGGGAAGACATTTACTTATTACAACTTGGGATCCGGCTCGGATTTTGCAAGTTTTTATCACTTTGTTGGTAAGTTTTATTTTTTCTTGACAGCTGTAGTCGTTAGTGCATGTTTCTCTGTCTGGACGTCTAAACGGTCTAGACTAAACGTTTGTTTAGTTCTGTTAACTGAACTTGCTTCTAAACAGCTTTCATGTTCCACAGGAGTGCCATCAATGGATATGAGTTATGTTGGAAAAGTGTTCTATCCTGTCTACCACACCGTCCACGACACGTATAAATGGCTTCAAGGTCTAATCGACCCAAAGTTTGAGTACCATCTAACCACGGCCAGAGTTGCTTCGAAAATCCTCCTGTCTACAGCGGATAGCTTCGTGCTGTCCCTCGATGTGACAGAGTATGGAAAATCTCTGGATAGCTCTTTCAAAGCGTTGGAGAAAGATTATGGTGCGGAACTTCAAAAGAATAACGTCAGCTTGGTGTATATTGCGGACGCAATTAAAAAGTAAGATTTGATAAAAATATTTGATAACATTTCAAAACAGTATTTTGTGTGTGTTGGTGTCATGTACTCAGGTGAATATGATGTTTGTGATGTTACTCTGAGTGTGCGTCCACACTGGGCAAGCTGAAAAGTTAGCTTGGCCACGGTGGGAATCGAACCCGCATATCGAAGGAACTAGACTCAGTTCCGAAATATCATCAACTCGAACCGACTTGACCACGTAGCTCAGTTGGCAGAGCATTGGACTATAGTATCCCAAAGGTCGCGGGTTCGATTCCCACCGTGGCCAAGCTAACTTTTCAGCTTGCCCGGTGTGGATGCACACTCAGAGTATGATGAGAGTCAGGGTGTTAGCCAGGCGGCCGTCCGACCGTCCTACGGACGGCCACTTCTGAACTCAGACGGCTAAAATTTAATGGACGGCCATGGACGGCCTAAGGGAATATTTTCTTTAAATAGCAATTTACAAGCTTTGTAATATTTCATGAATACTTTGAATTGTTGTCATCTGTTGTTTACTTTACTTATATGTTCTCATACTTTTTCCCGTCGAAAACACGTTGGATATAGTTGAATTGAAGTATCGACAATGTTTTTGTAATCATGTTGATAACAGAATAAATATCGTATAGTTATTCTGTGATGTTGATGATTCTCGCATGAAGTATCAAGGGGAATAATTCGAAACCGTTGTTTAAAAAAAAACAAAAATTGCTTTATCCTTGTGCGCCACATGCTTTAGAGTTACAGTACACTACGGTTCATACCATATGTGTGCTTTTACTAATTTAATGACGGAAATGTGCATCTAAAACTAAAAGTAAGAAGGTTTAACGAATAGATCACCACAATTCCACAACATAAAATTGCGGCCACACCCAAAAACATGTGACCACACCCACAAAAAATGGTGGCCACGCCCACAAAATTATTTTGGACGGCCACTTTTGAAATCCTGGCTAACACCCTGATGAGAGTTGCAACTCTCGCTTGCATCTGCATGATGCGAGTTTTCGCTACGCGCGGTAATATTCGTCAACTCTCATCAACTCTCATGCAGCTCTTGCTCTCGTTTAATCAGGACATCATACAAACTGTCGCTTTCCTGAATTCTCATCAGTCCTCGTTTGCCGGTTTTAGATTAGAGCGGGAGTTAACATCGTTCCCAGGGCATTTCCCTTACAGTGATTAAAGCTTTCCATCTATGAGATCAGGAGCCGGTTGTTCAAAAGGCGACTAGCGCTAATCCTGGGGTTAAGTTAATCGCCTTTTGAACAACCGGCCCCATGAGAGTCAAACTGGTAGGACTTTAATCACAAAATGTGTATTGAAGGAATCAAACCTTGAAAACTGAGGTGAAAGGTTCATACACTAACCATCTCGTTACCAATATTCCACGACCTTAAGATTCCTCTGTGTTTTTTAAAGATTCAAAGACGAAGCAACAAAATTCCAAGCTGAGAAAGGTAAAGCTGTCGACGAGAAGGACGACATCAAACTTCGAGCTCTGAACGACAGAATGGTCAACGTCGAAAAAGCCTTCATTACCGCGGCTGGTCTACCTAACCGACCAATGACAAGGCACGTTATATTCGCGCCTTCGGTCAACGATAAATACAGTAGCACCAGCTTCCCTGGGATTTCAGATCTTGTTGTAAAACAGAATAAGACGGATCAGGATTGGTTGGATATTAAGAAGCAAACATCCATTCTGTTTATAGCGATCTCGGATGCAACTAATATTCTGAAAGCTGATGCGAATTAGAAAGGGAATTTTTAATATTGACTTTTTTGCCATGTTGTATACCCTAAACATGAAGATCTTTAGAAAGGCTTGTATTGTAATAACGTTCTGGCAAAAACCGTTTTAGCGAAACCATATCAAAATAGCGTCTAAAACATGTATGGGAATCAGTGTACCTTTGCCTTTAAAATCTAGGGCAATATACAAACGTAATTTATAAATTTTTATGCTAGTTTTTTTTTATATGGTTAGTTCTTAGTTATCTGTGAAATTTGACTGCTGGATCTGTATTATAGTATATATAATCTAATAATTTCAGGACCCTGAAGGAAGGGGGTCTCAATCTCTGGGACTCTTCCCGGCCATTTTTTAAAATAAATCCCAGTCCCAAATGTGAAATTGAGAGATCCCAGTGCAGGTATTGAAATATACTCGAGTAATCATCACCTATATAGTAAGAGTTCGAAGTTCTTAGATTTCATGCTGGAATTTAGAAATTTCCCCGCAATTAAGTCTCTCTCCTGATGAGAAATATTCCTTTAGAGAACACAAAGAAAGACTTGGAAAAAGGCTTACCAACATATTTGAGTATGTACGAAAGATCGCAGTTCTGTTTCTTTATAGAAAAGATAATGCTAACTTTGTATTCAAAACAAAATATTGTATTCACATAATTCAATATAGCACTTATGTCCAATCAATCGTCCATGCCATCACAACTATATATATTATTTTTTCCCGAAGAATATCTCGGGGAGCAGCATTATCAACAATGGATCTAGGATCTACACTTTCCACCAGAAAAACGCATATACCATTATACAATTATATACGATTAAACGCGAAAACTTTGCGCCTAGCTTATAAATGGGTTGAGAATTGACAACGTCGAGCCATACTCTTTAGAGTCTAGAAACTAGCTGATAGTGTGTCGATTTCTCGGTCATTCCCCGTCAATTCCTCGGTCGCTCCTCGTCGATTTCCGATTCCACGTTCTATTTCCATTCCACGCTCCCATTCTCCGATTCTCCGTTGTCCGTTCAAAGACAGCCCCCACTTGCTTCAAAGAGCAACTTGAATCATATGACCAAATTAAACGCAACTGTGCTGAAACGACGCAACTTTTCGACGTAATCTTTACTTAACGAATTGAACTGCGACAACGTTATAGCTTCAAGATGACTGCAGCAACATTGACAACGAGACGAATTGTTGGTAGTGTGGTGGCTGTGTTATTCGTGTTTGGTTTTGTAATAGATTGGGTGTCAGCGGAAATGAAATATGCTGCGAAAAAACGTAAGGAGGAGATGAAGACGAAAAAATATTTCCATGAAAAGTTATTTGAAATTCTGGACGCTGATATCATCGGTGAGAATCTTAGGTAAGTGATATCATGACGCATATATTAAAGTCTAGTATGAAGTGGCGACTGACTATGTCCATCTGGATAGCTCTATCTGTTTTAAACTGTTTTCCCTAAAGAGATCCGGTAAGGGTCATCTCTTATGGGTTCAGTGTTACTACAGCAGAAGGAAACTGGAGGAAACTTTCGTGTTTGAAAAAGCAGAACTGTTGCGAAAGCTCGACTAATCAGCGAATAGTTGCGAGTCAACAGTGGCGTAGCCCAGCCCAGCCCGACGATTCAGTCCCGCTATCAATATAAAAATTGCCATGTTTATAGACTATCAACACAATCAATTTCTAAAGAAATGAATAATGAGTTGAAATGTGCATAGCGGGACCAAATCGTCGGGCTGGCTACGCCACTGCGGAGTCAACAAATAGTGCGAATAGTCAACGAATCATTATATAGTCGGTCAATATTCGTGAACAGTTTAAAAAGACTGGTGTGAATAGTCGAAAATTTATACAAATAATGAAGTCAATATTAAAAGTAAAACCACAAGTTCTACCAGTGGGATCACTGCCCGCTAATGGCGAATGTCTTCATGTGTGTAAGATTCCATATTATTTTGTACAAGAGGTTTGTAGATGGCATCTTATCCAAAATGCCCAGACAAAGCCCCAGTATTGATGCCTGATGCCAATTTCCTCATTCCCCCGAATGCTTTGCACCCTAGTATTACATTCACCATGGAAACGTCGATAGATGGCAAAATTCCTTTTATCAGTATTTTTTTATAGATTTTTTATGGTGATATAATTAAGAATTGAAAGAAGCAACAAAGATACACCGCGCCTATGTCCTCTCATCTACGACTGAAGCCTTTAATGAGGAACTTACAAGATCGGCGTAACAATACGACCGATTTTCGAAGGTCGAATACTCGAGCAAGATCTGAAGCCGAAGGAAACAAAGTCGTCGATGGTCTGTGTGATGCAGACTATGTTGGGTCATTTACTGCCGACATCTCCACCAGCGCAATGCTGAGCAAAAAGCTCAGCAATTGAGAAGCATTTTGTGGACATTCACGGAGATAAGAACTTGTTGGACGAAAGTCAAGTTCATGTTTTGAAAAAGTGCCTGCATGGGGAAGTTTGACTGTCTTGTATGCGAAATGCCCTTCACTACGAAACTACAAACTTTTTATATAACTTTTAAGCTATGAGTTTTATTAAAGACTCATTGTTTTAGCCTTTTGATGATGATGATGATGATGATGATGATGATGATGATGATGATGATGATGATGATGATGATGATGATGATGATGATATAACTACAATTTTCTCGATATAACTACAATTTTCTCGCACAGGTATTTCTCAAAGCGACCCCATGTTGGAGGTACTTCACGATCCAAAGAACTGGCAGATGAGATAGAAAAAAGATGGCGCGAGTACAAGTTCGATAAAGTAGAACAACCAAAATATAATATTCTCCTACCTTACATTGACCCCGATGTCTCCAATTCCGTACAGATTTTGAATTCCAGCGGTGACGTAACTTACGAGTTTTCTGGAAAACAGAAGGTATTTTAATTCACAGCTATATCGTCAAAGCGATATGATACTATACAGCTAATGGACAACTTGCATGTTAGACTAAATTTTAATCTAAGTAAAGGGAAGTGAATCAAACACCACAGATGAAAAGAACATAATAAAATTAGTAAAATTGCAAAATGTGGTTGCGAAATATTGTAAAGCTTGGAAAATATAGTCTTGCAAAGTTTGCAAATTTTGTATCTGTTTGTGTAACGTGAGGAAAAAAATTGTTATCATTTTCGGCTCAAAATGGTAAAAATTTTCCGTTTTTTACAACATTTCGTAACCAAATTTTGCAATTTTACTAATTTTAATAACTTCTTTACGGGAATTTACTTTTCTTGCCTAGATCAAAAATTAGTCTAACATGCAAATTGTCTATTCAATTAAAACTATTTGTAAATCCTCACACTAATATTTAATTCCCTTCAACTTTTATTCAATACCTCAGGTGGTAGAACCGAGCGAAAACGACACTACGATGATAGCACCATTACTAGGTTACGCCAAGCAAGGATCAGCCGAAGGGAAGCTGCTGTATGTGAATTATGGAAGATCAGAAGACTTTCAAGTATTGAAAAGCAACTTTAGTATTTCAAACTGCAGCGGCTACATCGTCATTATGAGATTTGGAAAAATATATCGCGGTGCCAAGGTTAGGGATGATATTAAGCATCCTTTATTCATTCTGGATTATGATTACCATCATCATCATCAACACCATCATCACCATCATCATCACCATCGTGATCACCACCATCACCATCACCACCTGATATCATCACATGATCACCACCATCATCATCACGCCATCACCATCATCATTATCAGCACCACCATCATAGATAACATCCAAAGAACCCACTAACACGCTTTCATAACTTGCAGGTAAAACACGCCCAGGACTGCGGAGCGGTGGGCGCCATTTTATACAACGACCCCGCAGATTATGCACCCGAAGGCCAAGACAAGGTTTACCCACAATACATCTGGCTCCCAAAAACTGGTGTCCAGAGCGGTAGCATATTTGATGGTCGTGGAGATCCTCTGACCCCTGGCTTGCCATTCGTAGACGGAGTATTCAGACTACCCGAAGATAAGGCTAACCTGCCCAAAATCCCAGCCACCCCGATGCCTTATGGAGACGCTATTGAAGTCTTGAAAATCATGGAAGGTAACTGAAAAAATTTAAATTGTTGAAGTACAGATTGGGAGCTAGTGCTTCTCATCTTTCCTTGCAGCTAAGAACTGGATTTCAAAAGACATACCTCAAATGTAACTGAGTGACTGAAGCTATACAAGGCTTTTCATAACTACAACTGGGTGAGGGAGGAGGGTGCAAATGACCCACATATTGTGTACCTAGGTTTCCTCTAACTAGGCTACTTTAAGTTTCCTGTCACTACAGAGTGACACTGGATGAGTAAGAGACGATCCATACTTGACCCCTAGGGAGAACACTTGAGAACTGATAGAACAATCTATATATGAGTTTGTCACAGCTATTGCAAATTTAAAATGTCTATATACTTTCCAACTGTAGGTAACAAAGTCCCCAAAAGCTGGCGAGGGACATTAAACATCACTTATAAACTCGGAGATGGCGGACTGAAGAACAACACCGTAAAAATAACAGTCAATGTTCCTAACAAACGACAGGATGCGTACAATGTCATAGGCACTATATATGGCAGAGAGGAGCCAGATAGATGGGTGTTGATAGGAAATCACAGGGATGCTTGGGGATTTGGGGCGGTAGATCCGTCTAGTGGTACATCTGCCATGATGGAGATTTCTCGTGGTCTGGGCGATCTTTTGAGGCAAGGTATTGAGGAAGAGATGAAAGTATTCATATAAGATATATCTTTATATTAGGATTAGACTTTTCAACTCCCAAGAAATTGTGATTATCATTATCCTGATTATCGAGGATATTATTATTATCATCATCATCATCATCGTCATCATCACCATACTCATTATCATCATCACCACCACCACTATCGTCACCATAACCATCATCACCACTATCATCATCACCACCACAACCGTCACCACCACACCAGTATCCTAACCATCACTACCACCATATATAACCACAACCACCATAATCATGCCCATCACCAACACCAACACCATCTCCATCATCACCATTACCACTACTATCACCACCACCATCACCACAGCCACCACCATCATCATCATCACCTAAACACATCCCCTCTTCCTTTGAAGGTTGGCGCCCAAGACGTACCATCAAATTCTGCAGCTGGGGTGCAGAGGAATCAGGCCTCATTGGCTCAACAGAATGGGTAGAAGAAAACGAACGGGCCTTATCAACAAAAGCTGTCACTTACATAAACGTCGACATTGCTGTCTATGGGAATCTCACCTTGGAACTGTCCGGCTCCCCCCTGCTGAAGACTCCAATCACAGAGAGTGTTAAACAAGTCAGAGACCCGCACAGGGGAAATGTATACGACCAAATGGTAAAAGCAAAAAAGAATTTCACTTACGGAAACTTGGGTTCTGGCTCGGATTATGCAAGTTTTTATCAATTTGTTGGTACGTTTTTAATTAACAGGGCGTTAGAGTGGTAAGTGCATGTTTCACTTTCTGGACTCTAGAAAGAACAGTTTAGAAGTGATAAAGCTATCCAGTATAAATAAAGTTAGTTTAGTTCCACTATAACAATGCTTGCTTCTAAACAGTTTTCATGTTCCACAGGAGTGCCATCATTGGATATGAGTTATGCCGGAAAAGTGTTCTATCCTGTCTACCACACCGTCCACGACACGTATAAATGGCTTCAAGGTCTAATCGACCCTAAGTTTGAGTACCATCTAACCACTACCAAAGTTGCTTCGAAAATCCTCCGGTCTACGGCGGATAGCCTGGTGCTGCCCTTCGATGTGAGAGAGTATGGGAAATCTCTGGATAGTTCTCTTGAAACGGTGAAGAAACATCATGGTGCTGAACTTCAAAAGAATAACGTCAGCTTGGTGTATATTCAGGACGCAATTAAAAAGTAAGATTTGAATAAAATATTCTTACATTTCAAAACAGTTTGGATAGAACTGATAGCCCGAATAGTTTAGAATTGATTGCTACAAAGAGCGAATCACATCAAGTATATAGGCAATTCCAGCTATAGACTAACTTTTGATCTAGGCAAGAAGAACAAAATCCATCACCACAGCTAGAAAGAGCATGTTAAAATTAGTAAAACTGCAAAGTTTGGTTGCGAAATGTTGTAAAATGAGGAAAATATAGCCGTGTGAAGTTCGCACATTTTGTATAGATTTGTATTACGCGCGGTAAAAATAACCACTAAGCTTTCGGCTTAGCCTGCTCGCAGGCTACTTTCGGCTCAAAAATGTTTATTTTTCCCGTGCGTAATACAAATCTATACAAACTATGCGAACTTCACAGGGGCTATATTTTCCTCATTTTACAACATTTCGCAACCAAACTTTGCAATTTTACTAATTTTAACATGCTCTTTCTAGCTGTGCTGATGAATTTTGTTGTTCTTGTCTAGATTAAAATTTCGGCTGTAGCTGGAATTGCCTATTTAGACTGATGTAATGATAGATGGTACGTTCACGGATGCTGGGAAAATCATTTAAGCTTTTGTTTAGACGAGAATGAGAGTTGATGAAAATTGCAACTCTCGTCGGACCGCCATCAGCATTCACAAGATTCATTTTTCTCTGTTTACAGATTCAAAGACGAAGCAGAAAAATTCCACGCTGAGAAAGGCAAAGCTGTCGACGAGATGGACGACATCAAACTTCGAGCTCTGAACGACAGAATGGTCAACGTCGAAAAAGCCTTCATCACCGCGGCTGGTCTACCTAACCGACCAATGACAAGGCACGTTATATTCGCACCTTCGGTCAACAATGCATATGGTAGCACCAGCTTCCCTGGGATTTCAGATCTTGTTGTAAAACAGAATAAGACGGATCAGGATTGGCTGGATATTAAGAAGCAAGCATCCATTGTGTTTAAAGCGATTTCGAAGGCAACAGATACTCTAAAAGCAGATGCGAATCAGAAAGTAAACTGTCTTGTTAAAAGATAAGATTTCAATTAGTTAGTAGCAAATAAAATACGACAACTGCTGCATATCTGTAATAGAATAGGGTATTAGCAATAGAAATGCTTTACTTCACAATTTGCTCCGCTAGCTTATCAGTGCGAAGAAATGAAGGCGTTAGCGGTCACTGTTACTTTCTAAGCTTTAGGTTAAATACGACTACGGAGATTTGTCATTTTCGCGCCAGTGACGCGTAGGCGGCTATTGTACGAAGCACGAATAATACTATACACAGCAAAGTGATTATTAAACCTTCGTAGAAATGCCTAAAAAGATGAACTATTTTTACTTTACCAAGTTTGTAATGATAGCCGCAAAACAGGTCGTAATGGACCTTTAACCTTATGACTAAAATTTTGATCTAGACAAGTCTAGACAAAAATTTCATCACAGCTTGAAAGAGCATCACAAAATTAGTAATATTCCGAAGTTTCGTTGCGAAATGTTGTAAAATGCGCATAATATAGCCTTGCGAAGTTTGCAATTTTCAGTCATTTTAGATTACAAACGGGAAATTGATACCAAAACACCCGATTTGGGTGAAAATTGCAAACTTCGCAGGGCTATATTTTCCGCATTTTACAACATTTTGTAACGAAACTTTGGAATATTACTAATTTTGTGATGCTCTTTCAAGCTGTGATGAAATTTTTGTCTAGATCAAAATTTTAGTCCTTGTACTCCTGAAACTAAAACCCGCTACTATTCTAGCAATCACTTCTTGTTCTTGGGACCCTATTACAATAAAGATACTAATAATATGAGTACAATAGGGGCACTAATAATTAACATCATCATCACCAGTATCCTCACTATAACCATCATCACCATTATCACACCACCACCACTGTCCTCACCAATCACTACCACCATATATAACCATCACCAACACCATCATCCCTATAATCACCACCATCGCCAAAATACAAAATCTCCTCGAAAGAATTATTGTATATGGAGAGCAAAAATATTGTATTCACATAATTCAATATAGCACTTATGTGCAATTAATCGTCCATGCCATATATAGAGATTACCGCTTTTGGTATTCCGGATTGTTCCATTCCTTATTTCCCCGATTCCCTATTCCTTTTTTTGAAATAGCCATTAACATTGAACGCTGAAACGACACAACCCTTCAAAGGAATCTTTACTTAACGAATCGAATTCCGACAACGTTAGCTTCGAGATGGCTGCAGCAACATTAACAACGAGGCGAATTGTTGGTATCGTGGTGTCTGTGGTTGTATTATTCGTGTTGGGTTTTGTAATAGGCTGGGTATCGGCGCCGAGCGATGAGGATTCCACTTCCAGCGAAGCGTATGATATGAAATATATTGCGAAGAAACGCAAGGAAGAAATGAAGACGAAATCTGGTTTTCATGAAAAGTTGATTGAAATTCTAAACCCTGATAAGATCGGCGAAAATCTTAGGTAAGCGATATGATATGAGAGTATGTCTATATTCACAAAATATAAATCCATGATAACTCCGAAAATAAACATTTTAATATTCTAGCTTTCGAATTTCTAAACGACTCGCCAAAAACCAGCGGTAAAATGGTATTTGGTACTTAGGTGAAATTATAATAAAATAGCCCTTTCTGAAATTATAATAAAATAACCCCTTCTGAAAAAAAATAGCCCCTTCTGAAAAAAATAGCCCCTTCTGGTTTCAAAAAGCAACTTGAATTATATGACTAAAAGGCTTAAAGCAACGTGTTCAAACGACGTAATTCGAATCGAACTCCGATAAAGTTAGCTTCAAGATGACTGCAGCAACACTGACAATCGGCCGAACCGTTGGTATTGTTGTGATTGTGTTATTCGTGTTTGGTTTGCAATAAACTGGCTTTATCAGCGGGCTGGAGGTATGAGCATTTCTGTGAGAAATATGAAATGAAATATACCGCAAAAAACCGTAAGGAGCAGAGGAAGACGAAAAAATATTTCCATGAAAAGCTATTTAAAATTGTAGACGCTGATAACATCGGTGATAATCTTAGGTATGTAATATCACGACATTAATTAATGATAGTAATTATTGGTTCAGTTTCACTACAGTAACAGTTGAAGGATTTTGTCGTCGATTTTTACATTGTTCGTCTAATCAAATTTGTCCTTCCCTGCCCCTTCTGCGGACTCATATTTCGGATAAATTGTCAGCAAAATTTTAACTTTTGTCGGCAAATTCAACAAAGGCCTTGAACTGATGAGTAGTGATATATTGCGATGATATGATCTTAGATTAAATCCACTCCAATATGAAGTGGATTTCACATTAAAATGTCGCGCTAAAATATAGCTTGCATGAAATCATTTCAAGAACTTAAGAATAAAAAATCGACAGCGTTTCGACGTTACTACACCTCATTTTCTAGTCAATTGAAAGTAAAATTATAAGTTCTATATAGCAGGTTTACTGGCGACTTACATAAACGAACAGATGAAGAACCTATGGAGTCATTCTTGTAAGATTCCATATTTGTACAAGAGGTAGGTTGAGGACATCTTACCGGCAAAATGTCCAGTATTGACATAGAAATCTTCTGTTGTTGATTTCCTCATTCCCTGCTTTATTTGTACAAGAGGTTGGTTGAGACATCTTACCGGCAAAATGTCCAGTATTGACATAGATATCTTCTGTTGCTGATTTCTTCATTCCCTGCTTTATTTGTACAAGAGGTTGGTTGAGGACATCTTATCGGCAAAATGTCTATAATATTGAGGACATCGTATTGGCAAAATGTCTAGTATTGAGGACATCTTACCGGAAAAATGTCCAGTATTGACATAGATATCTTCTGTTGCTGATTTCTTCATTCCCTGCTTTATTTGTACAAGAGGTTGGTTGAGGACATCTTATCGGCAAAATGTCTAATATTGAGGACATCTTATTGGCAAAATGTCTAGTATTGAGGACATCTTACCGGCAAAACGTCCAGTATTGACAAAGATATCTTCTGTTGTTGATTTCCTCATTCCCTGCTTTATTTGTACAAGAGGTTGGTTGAGGCATCTTATTGGCAAAATGTCCAGTATTGACATAGATATCTTCTGTTGTTGATTTCCTCATTCCCTGCTTTATTTGTACAAGAGGTTGGTTGAGACATCTTATTGGCAAAATGTCCAGTATTGAGGACATCTTATTGGCAAAATGTCTAGTATTGAGGACATCTTACCGGCAAAATGTCCAGTATTGACAAAGATATCTTCTGTTGTTGATTTCCTCATTCCCTGCTTTATTTGTACAAGAGATTGGTTGAGGACATCTTATCGGCAAAATGTCTAATATTGAGGACATCTTATTGGCAAAATGTCTAGTATTGAGGACATCTTACCGGCAAAATGTCCAGTATTGACATAGATATCTTCTGTTGTTGATTTCCTCATTCCCTGCTTTATTTGTACAAGAGGTTGGTTGAGACATCTTATTGGCAAAATGTCTAATATTGAGGACATCTTATTGGCAAAATGTCTAGTATTGAGGACATTTTACCGGCAAAATGTCCAGTATTGACATAGATATCTTCTGTTGTTGATTTCCTCATTCCCCTGCTTTATTTGTACAAGAGGTTGGTTGAGACATCTTATTGGCAAAATGTCTAATATTGAGGACATCTTATTGGCAAAATGTCTAGTATTGAGGACATCTTACCGGCAAAATGTCCAGTATTGACAAAGATATCTTCTGTTGTTGATTTCCTCATTCCCTGCTTTATTTGTACAAGAGATTGGTTGAGGACATCTTATTGGCAAAATGTCTAATATTGAGGACATCTTATTGGCAAAATGTCTAGTATTGAGGACATCTTACCGGCAAAATGTCCAGTGTTGACATAGATATCTTCTGTTGCTGATTTCTTCATTCCCTGCTTTATTTGTACAAGAGGTTGGTTGAGGACATCTTATCGGCAAAATGTCTAATATTGAGGACATCTTATTGGCAAAATGTCTAGTATTGAGGACATCTTACCGGAAAAATATCCAGTATTGACATAGATATCTTCTGTTGTTGATTTCTTCATTCCCCTGCTTTATTTGTACGAGAGGTTGGTTGAGGACATCTAATCAGCAAAATGTCTAATATTGAGTACATCTTATTGGCAAAATGTCTAGTATTGAGGACATCTTACCGGCAAAATGTCCAGTATTGACAAAGATATCTTCTGTTGTTGATTTCCTCATTCCCTGCTTTATTTGTACAAGAGGTTGGTTGAGACATCTTATTGGCAAAATGTCCAGTATTGAGGACATCTTATTGGCAAAATGTCTAGTATTGAGGACATCTTACCGGCAAAATGTCCAGTGTTGACATAGATATCTTCTGTTGTTGATTTCCTCATTCCCTGCTTTATTTGTACAAGAGATTGGTTGAGGACATCTTATCGGCAAAATGTCTAATATTGAGGACATCTTATTGGCAAAATGTCTAGTATTGAGGACATCTTACCGGCAAAATGTCCAGTATTGACAAAGATATCTTCTGTTGTTGATTTCCTCATTCCCTGCTTTATTTGTACAAGAGGTTGGTTGAGACATCTTATTGGCAAAATGTCCAGTATTGAGGACATCTTATCGGAAAAATGTCCAGTATTGAGGACATCTTACCGGCAAAATGTCCAGTATTGACAAAGATATCTTCTGTTGTTGATTTCCTCATTCCCTGGTTTATTTGTACAAGAGGTTGGTTGAGACATCTTATTGGCAAAATGTCCAGTATTGAGGACATCTTATTGGCAAAATGTCTAGTATTTAGGACATCTTACCGGCAAAATGTCCAGTATTGACAAAGATATCTTCTGTTGTTGATTTCCTCATTCCCTGCTTTATTTGTACAAGAGATTGGTTGAGGACATCTTATCGGCAAAATGTCTAATATTGAGGACATCTTATTGGCAAAATGTCTAGTATTGAGGACATTTTACCGGCAAAATGTCCAGTATTGACATAGATATCTTCTGTTGTTGATTTCCTCATTCCCTGCTTTATTTGTACAAGAGGTTGGTTGAGACATCTTATTGACAAAATGTCCAGTATTGAGGACATCTTAGTGGCAAAATGTCTAGTATTGAGGACATCTTACCGGCAAAATGTCCAGTATTGACAAAGATATCTTCTGTTGTTGATTTCCTCATTCCCTGCTTTATTTGTACAAGAGGTTGGTTGAGACATCTTATTGGCAAAATGTCCAGTATTGAGGACATCTTATCGGAAAAATGTCCAGTATTGAGGACATCTTACCGGAACAATGTCCAGTATTGACATAGACATCTTGTTGTTGATTTCTTCATTCCCCTGCTTTATTTGTACAAGAGGTTAGTTGAGGACATCTTATCAGCAAAACGTCCAGTATTGATCATGTTGCTGATTTTCTCATTCCACTGCTTTATTTGTACAAGAGCTTTGTTGAGGACATCAGTCAGCCATTTTAAGGCAATGTTAAAAAGCTTGATGCCAGAGGACATTAAGAAAGGCTGCACTTGTAATAGATGTCTATCTTAAATATACGTACTTTTGAACTATTCCTATATTGTAGCATAGTTAGTAGAAAATAAACATGGTTTGGAAGCTTGACAAAAGTCATTGTTCTATGTTTTTGTCCAAGTTTATGGAAATTTGTGCACTCGGATTCTGTATAATGAGGCGATTACCCAATAAGAACCTTAGTTTCAATCGCTGAACCGTAATATTTGAATATTAATAAACGCAAGACAAAAGATGTGTGCACTCGGAACTACAATTCAACATCAGTTGAAGTTTGAATAGGAAATTCTTTGAAGTTTACCGGCCTTCCTAACCATGTTTATTTCTATTAACTATGATTGTAGCTACTATTAATAATTCTAACATCCGGAGGTTTTTGTATATACATAGTTGTAATAGTTAATGTCGAGTGCTTTTAACATGAGCCTCTGGATCGGAAGATTGGGCGACCACTTCCTACGCTTTTCGACTTTAAATAAATCATTATCATTATCTTACTGGAAAAATGTCCAGTATTGATGTTGTTGTTGATTTCATCATTCCCTGCTTTTGCCATCTATGGACGTTTGGGAAACGTCCATAGATGGCAAAATTCCTTTTATCAGTAAATGGATAAAATTATGAGAGGAGCAACAAGTGATGGGCATGATTATGGTGGTAATGATGAAAGCGGATGAATGTAATGATGATAGTGGTCGCGATGATGATGGTGATGATATGACCATACGTCTCGTTCACAGGTACTTCTCAAAGCGACCCCATGTTGAAGGTACTCCACGATCCAAAGAACTGGCAGATGAGATAGAAAAAAGATGGCGCGAGTACAAATTCGATAAAGTAGAACAACCAAAATATAATGTTCTCCTACCTTACATTGACCCCGATGTCTCCAATTCCGTACAGATTTTGAATTCCAGCGGCGGCGTGACTTACGAGTTTTCAGGAAAAGAGAAGGTATTTTAATTTACATTCTTTTTTTAAAGCTATTCGTCAAAGTGATATGATACTATACAGCTAATTCAATTAAAACCATTTCTAAATCCTCACACTAATATTTAACTTCCTTCAACTTTTATGCAATACCTCAGGTGGTAGAACCGAGCGAAAACGACACTACGATGATAGCACCTTTACTAGGTTACGCCAAGCAAGGATCGGCCGAAGGGAAGTTGCTGTATGTGAATTATGGAAGATTGTCAGATTTTCAAGTATTGAAACATAACTTTGGTATTTCAAATTGCAGCGGTTACATTGTCATTATGAGATACGGACAAATATCTCGCGGTGACAAGGTTAGGGATGATATTTTTAAAAAATCCTTTATTGGTACTGGATTATAAATAATTACGACGTACCATCATCAACACCATCATGACCATCATTATCACCAACATCACTACCTTTACCCATATACCCACCATCACATCGCCATCATCTTCACCATCACAACCACAACCATAGCCTGCGTAGCAGGCGGTATTCGCGGGCACGAGAGAATGGGAAGCTAGAAATACCACCTGCCCAAAAACTACACATTCTGAGTTCTCCCCGGCAGCTGGGTGCCGGAGCATTCTGATTGGTCAGAATGTTGATTTTCAATTTTTGATTGACAGGAGTAAAGAATTAGAATAATTAGTGCTAATTTTAGAAGTTACTGTTGCCGTATTTATAATATAAACTATTATTATTTTCGTATTGATAACGATATACCGAGTGTTGGCATACACTAACCAAAAAATAACGAATGTATTAATTGAGAATTAAGCGTTGAATTCTTTAATCTTTATCTGGAATCGGAAATCTCTTCGTCTCGAAGAATGAACAACGAATATCAATCCAACATTTGTTGCTTGATAGATGTGATACCGTGATAAAAGTGCAGATTTGAAGATACAGGCTCGTAAATGACACTCTAAGTAGTGTTTTTGATAGCGATTGGAACAAGACTATTACAAAGTTACGTCCGAAGGGGCCGAAGTTATGTTCGGCGAAAGGTATGGCTAGTCTATATTTTTGTTCAGACAATTGCGTATGATTTGATAATACACGAACTCGCTTGACTTTCAAAGCTCATAAATCGCTATAATGTTGACATCGACTAAAACTATCGCTATGAATGAGGACATATTGTTACACTGAATCGAACGTGGTATTTTTGTCTTCATAGCATTGAATGAACCGAAGTTATGAAACGTCAAAGCCGTATATTTGCACTGGTGCAATACGTGAGTATACGAAACGAAAAGCCATTTTGACAAACCATGAGAATGATTGGTTAAACTTTAAAACAGCTAGAAACAAAGTAAATATTGAACTAAGAAGTGCCAAAAAAGATTATTATTCTTCGAAAATAGCTGGTCAAAAAATTAATCTCAAGAAAGCTTGGAAAAGTATAAACAACTTGTTAGGTAGGCAAAACAAACCAACAGTGGTAAATGAACTAAATGTAGGTGAACAAAATTTGACAAGTCCTGAAGATATTGCGGAGGGCTTTAATGAATATTTTTCAAATATTGGCCCAGATCTAGCTAGAAAAATAGATTATTCCAATTCCACTTTTGAAACCTATGTCAAAAATCTCAATCAGAATTTGCGGCTTTCCAACCTGTTACTGTCAGTCATGTCTCTCATCTTTTGCATGGACTTTCCAACAATAAAGCCACTGGCATCGATAAAATCTCTTCCAAAATTATTAAATTAGCTGCACCTGTTATCTCAGATTTACTGACACTTATTTTCAATCAGGCTATTACTTTATCTTCTTTTCCTGATGAATGGAAGGTTGCTAGAGTGATGCCCCTATATAAAAATGGCCAGCGTAGTATTCCTGGAAACTACAGACCAATATCAGTTTTACCGGCCATTAGTAAAATTATGGAACGGATATTGTATGATCAACTGTATAACTATTTAACAAAATTTGAGATTCTCAGTGATTCCCAATTTGGATTTCGAAAATTTCACTCTACAGCTAGTGCACTACTAGACTGTACTAATGATTGGTATGTAAATCTAGACAGAAAATTGTTTAACCTAATAGTTTTAATTGATTTGAAGAAAGCTTTTGATACTGTTGATCATCAAATTCTGCTGAACAAATTAGAGCTCTATGGAATAAAAGGACAAGCTCTAACTTTGCTCAAATCCTATCTCACAAACAGAAACCAGAAGTGCCAAATAAAAAACTCATTTTCATCTGAGCGCTTGATTAAATGTGGTGTACCACAAGGCTCTATATTAGGGCCATTATTCTTTTTGTTGTACATCAATGATTTACCACATTGTCTAAACAAAACCAAACCGCGGTTGTTTGCTGATGACACAAATTTGACTGCTTCAGCAAATTCTATGACTGACCTAGAGACTGCAGTAAATTCTGATTTAGAAAACCTTAGAAAATGGTTAATAGCCAATAAACTTGGCCTCAATGTAGCTAAGACAGAGTTTATGTTGATTGGCTCTAAACCTATGATCATAAATATTTCTGATTCTTGCCCAAATGTTTACATTGAAAATATACAAATTAAACAAGTTCAAGAATGCAAAACTCTAGGAGTAACAATTGACCAGCATTTATCTTGGAAAAGTAATACCGAAAATATTTGCAAAAAAGTTACAGCAGGAATCTCTGCTATTCGTCGGATCAAACCATTTGTTGACCGAGATACACTTATTTTGATATATAACACTATTGTTCGTCCGTACTTTGACTACTGCTGTGAAGTATGGGATGTATTTGGCGAAACTCAATCAAAACGACTGCAAAAACTGCAAAATAGAGCGGCAAGAATTATTCTGAATATAAGCAATGACGTAGATTATACGATTGCGTTACGTACTTTGGGCTGGGAGCCACTCCAAACTGAAAGGAAGAAAACTAAAGCACGAATGATGCATAAGTTATTAAACAAAATGGGCCCAAAATCACTCACAAATCTATTTTCGTTTAAGAGTGAGAAAACTAATTACCACCTTCGGGATGTCTCAAGTGGTCTTTATTTACCAAAACCACGTACAAATAGCATGAAAAATAGTTTTATGTACGACGGAGCAAACATTTGGAATTCTATACCAAAAGAAATTAGGGAAAGCAAGTCACTTTCTTCCTTTCGAAATAAAATCGCTGCTCACATTAGTGCTTGGTAACCTTTATAAATATAACTTACCTGTAAATAGCTCAAAACTTTTGTTATATCTTTTAAATTTATATATTACTGTAATAGCTTAGCTTATCCTTATCATATTCTGCATGTAAAATAATTTTCTGGCACACGCCCCCCGTGGAAATCAGCTACGGTTGACGGGGTCAGCGTGGATAAATAAAGTTCTACTACTACTACTACTACTACTACTACTACTACTACGCACCAAGACTGGATAAACAATACCTGGAAAACCTTGTAAATCTTGGTTAATACAATAAGAGACGTAAGAAGATCAGTCTAGTTTTATAATTATATATTCATGTTCTTTTCAAACCTTTTTTGGGGAATGTTTATCATCATCTCAAAGACTTCTCCTGGCCCATGGTGCATTATCAGTGATCACTCTCTCTCTCTCTCTCTCTCTCTCTCTCTCTCTCTCTTGTTCAACCTTCGATTTAGTTCTTGCCCGAATCTGACTTGATTCACGCAAATTCTGGTGTACTTGTGTATTTCATCATAAATGGTGTGGATTCTTTAGAATGTTCATTTTTCGCGCGCGTGATGCTCAGGTGGCTAATTAGATAATTTTAAGACATACAATTACAGTTATGACGTCACTAATCATTTATAGCGTAAGATAACAGGCTGAACTATACGTTCTTGAACCTTTTCGATACCATACTGTAGGTCAATGAGAGAGTCACATGAGAATGGCGATCAGACTTTCGAGATTTATTTGCACAGCTCGTTTACACAGCTCTCTCATAAACAGAGGCTTTCACACTTTTATTAATTTACCATTATTCATCAATTTAATTAACCTCTTCTAAGAATTATTACTGATATCTTGGGTGAACATAAGATCATTAGAAAATTTGAGCAAGACCATCAAGTACGAAGACGTACTTGCGACGAAGTGTGTCACTGGTATCATGGCTGCTGAACGTGTCTTCCCGTTATAGATTCATGTGTCGCTGTTTTATGAATAATTGACCCCTAATCCTTACCCTGACCCGGAAACATGAGACTATATTCCATCTTGGCATAATTTGCATTTCCCGCGATGTGAACTGTGAAGACAGCGCTGTTTGAATCACCTCCGTGTCAGGTCAGTCTCATGAATAGTATATTAAATATGTAAATAACATATCAAATTTTACACAGTTCATGCGTCTCGAATATATTACCATATATTTGCTGATGAAACGTATCATTATAAAAATGCAGAACAATATCAATGGCCACTCACACTATTTGATAGCCATTGGCATGCCATGTGTGTTTATATTAAGAAATATGTTAGTTAATCTCCTATATATTTTATATCTTAGACTTTGCTCCAGACTGCAGAGTACGGCAAGTGCACACCCGAGATTTTTTTTGGCCAATGGTATTGCACACTTAAACATATTTCAAATATTTTCCAGTTTTGTCAGGCATTAAAATAAGGACTTCTAAGACAAGTGTAATATAACAACCACCTGAAAATCGGGAACACTGATTGATGGGCACAAATGAAAAATGTCCATTAAAGTTTTGAATTTCTATCTACAGCAGAGTTTTGCGATCATCAGGTTGTTATGATTAAACAAAACCGTATAGCATGTAAGCATGGACACAAGAGAACTTTTAATTGGTCCGATTTTCTCGAGGCGCCACCATGGTTGGCGCCGAGCGGAAAATTTTTGAAATTTGGAGTCCCTACATTGTCGGAAATGGCATTTTCGAGTGCACACTTTTCCATTTGCAACTCAATTACAAGGACATGCACATTTTCCTTTTACAGGACACAAAGTGTGTCAAAAACACGTTATTTTGTACGTGTTCATAATGACTTTTAACTTCGATCGAAATATATATATATTCTTGTTTGTTCTTCAGAATTTGGACCACGTTTTGTTTTCCTGAGAGGCAGAAATTTTAGTTATTTGTACAAATAAACAATCATTGTTTAATATCATTAAAACATGTAGCTATTTACAAGTGCACACTTGACTACGTTAACTGAGGATTGCACACTTGCACACCTGAATTTTTGTCTTGCACACCCGAGATCTCGTCGAAAACTGCCATACTCTGCAGTCTGGACTTTGCTCATGTAATTATTAGTTGTAGACCTGTAGTCTATAAAGACTAGTGAGTAGTGTAAATGAAATTTATAGAAATAGTTACACTCTGATATATTATATTGTAGCTTACATGTATACTAACAGAGTTTAGAATTACAACAGCTGAGCCTGCTTCCTGGGATAACATATCATAAATATATGGTTAGATGTTTCAAATCCATGTATTGTATACCTTACTTGTATTAAAATTCGCGTCGTATACTCATTTTCGTTCAGCTTTAAATTCGCGCATTCCAATTTCGCGAAACTTGTTCGCGCAGCTTTAAATTCGCGCAAGTAATTTTCCGTGTTGGTTCCTTTTGGTTTGATTAATAGAACTATAACAACAAATACTTCAATATTTGTCAAAACAAAATTCACGATAACAGTAAAGCCTGGTTCACATATGCCTGCGGCATGCCTGCGACTGTATCATTATGCCTCTACTTGCCGCCGAAATACCGGCAAAGTTGAACTCAAGTCTCAAGTCAACTTTCCCGGCCTACCGCCGATGTAACTGTGGCACTGGAGGCAATCGGCGAACAAATGTTCACATAATTTACGTTTTAAAGCTACCATCGGCATCGTCGCCGGTACGTCGCAGGCATATATGTGAACCAGGCTTAAAGCGTATAAAGTTCAAACTTCAAAATGTATGGTTTTCATTTGCCTAATACAATAATAATAACTAATTTTATTAGCATCCCATATATTATAGGTTCGTATATGGTATTGCCTTACATTATATTATTTACTAACAACGAGTGAATATTACACCGCAAAGCTTTTCGCGTGCATTATATTTCCCGCAGTACTAAAATTTGCGCGCCCAGCTCTGCGCGAATTCCTGCAGTATTGCTCGAATTTTAGTACAAATAAACATATACAAATAAACATTTTTCCTAATTGCCGTTGTGCTGCTGTTTCAAGATGATCTACAAATAAACATTTTTCCTATAACTTGGAGATAATCTATATACAGTACAGAAAATATTTCAGTTTCCTGACTGCCATAAGTTGTCCTGCTGTTTCGGGATGATCTATATATGCTGCTTAGCCAGATAAACATTGTCCCTAACTGTCGTTGGGCCGCTGTTTCAAGATGATGTACATTTGAAAACTTTCGAACAACTGTTATCTTACTTTTTCAAGATAATCTGTTGTTCGAAGTGGTATGTTGATGAATAAATTTTGTAACTTTTGTGCGTTTTTTTCTTATTTTGGTGTGAAAAACAGCCACTTTTCTACAAATTTTAAATCTAATTTCGATGCTCAGAATGCAGGAAATGGTACTTGCGGGCTTCAAATTTCAAAAATTTTCTGGGGGGGCATGCCCCCAAACCCCCCTAGGTAGGGCGTGGCCTTCGGCCCCGCATGTTGATTTCATCCAAAATGCTACGGTCAGATTGAGACGCTGAATCCGCCCCTGATTACTGATATCTTGGGTGAACATAAGATCATTAGAAAATTTGAGCAAGACCATCAAGTACGAAGACGTACTTGCGACGAAGTGTGTCACTGGTATCATGGCTGCTGAACGTGTCTTCCCGTTATAGATTCATGTGTCGCTGTTTTATGAATAATTGACCCCTAATCCTTACCCTGACCCGGAAACATGAGACTATATTCCATCATTGTTCTTCGGCGGTTCTGTCTTTGTTCAGAACGAAGTTCACGGCAAATTTTGACAAAATAATTATTCTGAACGAAGGCAGATGAACGAAGAAGGCAAAAAAACGAAGATGGGAATGGATGCATGTTTCACTGTTTTGTCTGGATTAGGATAAGGATAGACATGAGTCTATAACCTGTCGACGTCTTCGCTCAACACTCACCGCTAAACCTAAACTCAGTATGCGCAAGATTGTCTTCGATTTCATGTTCAGGTGGTAATTACGACTGTACAGAGCACATTCATCTCAATGCAAGACGAGTGACTTCATTATACATAGGTCTATATAAAGCTGAAATCAATGGTTGATTCCCTCAAAATCGCGTTGAAAACTTTCACGTTCCCTGTTGTACCTATGGAAAGAACAACAGAGAAACTGAAACATCTTTAATGTGATTTTACATCCTCTTTTCACCGTGTCATATATTGGATGAGGTTTTGTGGTAAGTACCCGGAATTTTAAAAAATATCGAGCCTGAGGGTCGCCAAATACTGTCGAACCGACTACGTCCGCACAATAGATTTCGAGAGGTAATATGGGCACAGATTGACATGGAGTACTGAAATTTTGATAAGGTCCCATACCTGCCTTTTTTGTTGGTCCATTCGATACGAATTAGTAGTGGAGACAATTGGCTCGATTCGTTCAATCCATATAAAGTTCGACACGAATAGAGAGATAAGAAATAGATGAGGCTGATTAAAGAACCAATATAAAGGCAATATGCCACAAATCAATTCATTCGTATTTTTAATTTAAATTAATTGCATATTAAAGAGACAATATATGAGTTTATAATACGTACTACAAAGCCATTAAGGTGTAAAGGTTAACTGACCATAAACATAAAGTACGTACATTTGGAAATCATCTGTCAGAACCGTGACGTCGTAGGAATAGAAACAAACCTTGGAAGCGAACACAAACTTCGCAGGATTAATTGGTTTTTTGACAACCGCGGCAAATATCGCAACATCAAAGCAGCTATAATGAAAGACTATGTGCATATGTACAAAGAATGAAGAATGGTGTATTCAGTTTTTGTTGCGGCGATTACTACAGATTTGTGTCTTATTGTTCACTGCTTCAGATTTGTACCTCGCAACATCTTTATGTTTTTCTATAAAACACCCCGCGCGTGATTAAATCTTAAAGTTATCTACCTATATGCCTGTATCGTTATGTATACAAACTAGTTTGTCTATGTTTAACTTGGCGGTGACTTTGTGTATGCGTATGTGTGGTCATAGTCTCCGTAATAGGAAAATATGCATGCCTCTTGACATGACAACTGCAGTCGTAAAACAAAATTAACTATTAGACAATCTCCTGTAATTTGCCGCGATACTTGAGTATTAAATGGCGTAATTTATGTTAACTAGCAAAGCGGACATTGTTTTCTAAACACGAAAGGAATGCCTTTGACTTATCTCAAATGTGCAAAGCACTTCATTAATTATATTTGATATTTATCATAACTCCACCGGTTATATAATATATCAAACAAAACACGTGAAAACTTTGTTTCATCAGGGATGGTGGTACAGTGTCAGAATGTTGCCATTCCACTTTCAAATTTTTACCCTCATTATGTTGCTATCGCAAAACTTCATGTCTTATGTTCTTATTTTATTCTCTATATGTCGCTATTTCAACGCAATGACGCAATGTTGCCAGTCGGAACTTATATTACCTTATTTACCTAACAGGACCTCACTAATGCCATCACTGACTGAACGAACTATATTCACAATCCAACGTTTTGACACTCCAGGCTAGAGCGTGTCTTCATCAAACCGAGAAGTTTGTCATTAACTCTGAATTCAAAGTGAAAGTTGGCTTAATTTAATTTACTATGCACTTTTTTTCTACTGATACCAAACACAGATACATTGTGTTTCTTATAGTTCATGTAAGGACCGGCACGTACCCTGAAAATGACAGATAAAATACACAACATGTCACATTTTATTAGGTATTTTAATTCAGGTATTTTAATCCTACGAGCTCAGTTTCCAACTGTGTAAAATAGAAGAAAAAAATGTTAGTTGCAAACCACACATGACGACAGCGACGATTTGTAGGCACGTGCTTGAGCATCGAGAATAAGTCTGTGATACTGTATTCGTTATTCGTTAAGAGTCAGTAGTCAAACTGGTGCAGCCCCAGTGGCATCATATTACAATTGGACCAATTGAAGACACGAAGTAAATTTGATAAAATAAACTGATATTTTGTAAATGCATTCTGTACTGAAAGTACATTTTGTACCTCACTGCTAAATGCAGCTTGGAATGGAATGGCATGAAGGGGTCGGATATACTACTTTTAATGACTTTATGTGTTAACGAATGAGAGTTAACGTGTTGTGTGCTTCCTTCTTTCTCGACTTTGACGACTTGTCCAACTCGGTGTCTTCCGGGGGGAGGGGGGGCATGCCAGTGGCGTAGCAAACTCGATAATTGGGGGGCGGCAATATTCATATATTCGTGTTTACAGACCTTAAAAAAAATTGATTTCGAAAGAAATTAATGATGCAGAAAACGAATGTATGAATATTGGCCCATCAATTATCGAGTTTGCTACGCCACTGAGACATGCACTGTTCACCCTTTTATCACAAATCTGAGCCAAAGTCGGACGCCGCCACTGACATCCTATATCATCGGCACACGAATCAATGGGGAATGGTCGGCGTGGGCAGCATGACTGTATATTGTACATGTCAAGTCACCTCAGGGTAATGCACATGCGCAGTAGGGTATATTTGACAGATATTTTTGGCTGTTTTTAATTTAGTGATTCTGCATGCTGGCACGAATTAGAATTAACTCATCTTTGCTTACAATATTCGTGACTTTTCAAATCATCAATCGCTAAACATTCAACATTCATGGCAGGCATATAAAACAAAGGTATAAATTAGTTAATGCGACTATCTTAACTCAACTCGTTTTATTGAAAATGAGGTAATTAGCATTCCGTGTAATTAGGACGCTGGTGTAATTTTAGTTTCGTCTCGATGGAGCTTGGTATTTGACCTCGGTTCAAATCTTGTCAACCGTTTAATCTATCTCGTTGTTTGATACCGGATTTCACACTCTTGAAAATCTTGAGATTGTTAAGCTGATCCTTTGCGTTAGGTCTCAGTTGTTTCTTGAAACGATACCCTCCAACAAAATCTTCGTGGTCATTAAAACCACCACAAATATTCCAGCCGCAAAAATTCTTATTTTGCCGGATATGGAGCAGGAATCAAGGCCAGCTGTTCCCAGCCTGATTGCCGCAATTTTTTTAAACTTTATCAAGATACATGCAATTTCTTTTGACATATTGTTTTATTACTCTGTTCCCGTTTGTGCGTCTATCGTTTGGAACACTTGGTCACTGGGCGTAACTTAGGTTATTAACAAAATTGTACTGAATATTTAGAGTTTAACCTTCAAGTTATTGAAGCAACTTAGACAACCATGTCTGTATCAAATATATGTCTGCAGACATACCTTCCAACCTTAGGATCGTAATCGAAAACTGGAAGTTTAACAATTTCACTAACGTTATTGACAGTGCTTACTGCTTGCAAACTGCGATGTATATTCATTTCTAAAGAGAAAGCTTTTATCCTAAACTGATTTTCTTGATGATATTAAGCGGGTCTTTAAACGTCTTTCTAAGAAACTGGGAGGTTCAGATTCAAATTGGGAGGCAGGAAGGACGTATGGAACTCGTGAGACTCGGATGGATTGAAAATATATCTTCGATTTCGTTCAGAAAATTTGCTGTAGACTCCGGTAAGAATATTTTCTGTAGACTCCGGTCAGAAAATTTTTGCTGTAGACACTGATCAGAATATTTTCTGTAGCCACTCCGGTCAGAAAATTTAAAGTGTTCTTTATCACATGCACTTTCAACCAAAGACAGTAGATTCATGTGATAGATTAGCAAAACAGGTCCATACAAGTCCTTTTTATTAAAACAATGTTTTGATGTTGCAACAGTGCATGTCTCATCTTTTTGCTGACCATGTACGAGCATAATACAAGACTATATATACCCACAATGACAATAGAGGATTATAGAAACTGAGTATTAACAAATGAGTGGTCAATGCTATGCCTATGGATAGCAAGCTGAATAATTCAGATTATGTACTAGTATGAACATATTTTACAAATTATAAGTAGCTATAAAAAGATCTTTGACCCTTTTTATTATAACCCTGCATGTGCCTGTGATTGGTTGTAAACAAAATTTTGAAATTTATTTCAAAGCCTTCTTCAGACCAACTTGGCAACAACCATCTTCAGTTAATAGGAGTGAAGAACGCTTTGACAGAAAGTCACGAAATATCACAATAGAAAATTTTGTCTTAGACTTAGATTTTTAAGACGCTTTATTCGGAATTTGCTCCCAACAATCCCGGAAGATGTTGGGCCAACAATGTTTGACTCGTTTGAATCATTGAAAGAATCAAGGACGAAATGCACCTATTTCTCATGTGCTAAAGACCAAGTGGTCATGCAATTTAATATGATTTCCTTCCCGGCCTTCCGCTTAATTATTCTATGACTATATGCATGCCAGTTGTGTGGGAAAGCAGTCAATCCCACGGATTTTAACTCAGATTATTTGTTTCGTATACATTGATGTTGTTGACTGATTTATGATATTGTATTTAGCTGATGAATTTAATAAGATAGCTCATTCAAAAGCTGGAAAACGCATTACTACCCACCGGATATGAAATCCTTACAAAACACGCAATATATCCAAAAATCGTGATGGCTGATGCACATGCACCAATAATCTTGGTGCATATATTATGTAATCATTTTATACTAGTTCTAACAGCTCTATAATTCATCTTCGTATACATTGGTGCAGCCACTACTTTGTAACAGAATGTATTGTAGGAATACACTGCTTTTGATCATGATCATGTGACATGTATATAAATGAATTTCGACTCGAAACAAAGCCGAAAGAACTGTCTGAATGTTCTCGGTTTAAAATGGTATCATTTTTACATAGATTATTAAACATTTTCTAAGTTCTATACATCAGATAGATAAATATGTATATATACTGCTTACACCATACGAGTCTCATCGCAGTTGCATGTTCTGAGGACCGTCAAGTAGTCATTGCATGCCTGGCATCCTGAAAGAACCAATTACAATGTTAAACTATATTATTTCGACACCACATGTCCTTAAACTAGTAAAAAGGAAAGGCATGCAGCTTTCCATTTCAACTAATAACTAATGGACCAGTCGATGGCGTTTCTACAGTATATATGCAACGCAAAAATGAGAAAGAAGTATATATAGGTTTCTTCTGAAAATGACTTAAATTATAGTCGAAACGTAAAGACTAAAGAATAAAAATGTTTACAATTTTCGGAGTGTCTATTGTTTTGTGTTTTATTAAAGTAGGCTACGTATAGATACAGTCTGTCTGTGATAAAATGGTTCTGAACCATGCAACTGCTATAATCCTGTAGTCGTCCGGCTATATACATAAGCTTGAAAGTTCTGTTTTTATATTTAATATATTTTAGGTATCATTAATTTTTTGCTGTTTTTATTTGTTCAATCTTAAAACCACTTGAACCATGTTTAATTTAAAGTCTGCTCAACGGACAAACGGCTATCGATATGAACGAGCGCTCAATGGCTCAAGGCATCCAAGGATGTTCGCCGTCCACATTCATTTACTTGTTCTATATAAACACACTATTCGCTAAGAAATGAGTGAACTGCCAAAACCATATATTATATAGAGTTTGAATCTATGACCATGCACTGATGCAAAACCAGAATTCAATGAACTATATAGTATGGAACGAGGTATGGAACATATATTTCGCATGTGAACCAGAGATCAGAATACGGTTTGATGTGAATTTCTTCACTCTCCCGATTATGTTTTGGTAAGAGTTGGAAGAACCATACAAGCAGCAAGCGTTATAAACCTTACATGAAATATATAAAGAACATGCACAAACAAATGTACTTCCAGGTGGAAGGAAATTGCGTTTTGCCGTTTACTATTGCCGTATTGGCCTATTGCGCACGATATGGTAATGTTCTGTGCAGTACAAGATTTTTAATCAGTGACAGTGTGTTATCAATGTTCGCTGTAACTTTTGTTCTCAACTATATTCGCACGAGCCGGTTAATCAAGAAAAATGTGTTAGTCGGCACGTTACGAACTAATGTCAATGACAATGGATGGCATATGCGGCCATAGAAAACAGCATCAAAATGTCCTACGTGTAGTGTTTACATAGATTAATCTCATGGTAACTAGCCATCACATTTTACATCACATTTAATATCCCACGTTGTTTAATCTAAACTCGGTCTCAGTATACCCAGATATTAGGTTTGTGGACAAAGAGAATTTTTTACTACTTTGGTGGTTGTCGAATTATAACTGCGGGAATGTGTTTGCTGATGTCGGTTGTGATGCAAAGCCAGTCGCTTCAAGAAACATTGTAAGGACAAGGTGCTTGGTTTACGGCCTTTTATACATGGGAATATCCTGTGCTTTCAAAGAAATGGCGAACATACACAGCTTGCTGTTCATTCTATATAACTCAACAGTATTGGAGATATTTCATTACCAAATGAAACTTCAAACGAAACAGCAGAAAATTGACCGAGCAAATAAGATCTATTTCACAAGTGTGGGTAAGGTTCTGCTAGATTTCGTGCACGACCAGCTTGCAACTTAAAAAACAACTGGGCATCCCTTCCTGTAGAACGTTTTGTCCTCTTGATCTTGGTAAAAATGCACACGAGCAAACAGTTTCACTTCGACACTGTACGATTCATACATGGCAACTGCTCTTCTATAAAATGCTTAAATCTGCCCAAAGGTACAGTATAACGTAAAAGGAAAACGATATCTGGTCCGAAATAACTTATAATAATGTATGATTATCTAAGTTGAGTTTGATGTTTGGATGCACAAGGAGATCCTATCTATAACGACATACATCTTATATAGCGCGGGTTCCGGCCCGGTCCATGAATCACTGAGATAATTTTTTGTCGTGTTGGCTCTCTAGAATCTTCGACGTAAACAAACCAAATAAATTGTGATAATGGAGCCTTGACATCTTTGTTGTCTAAGTAAATGGTGCCAAGTATATCTCTTCTGACCAGATGCATAGAATGAATTTACTTTTCAACAAAATTTCATTGACAAATGTCTGTTTGCGATTTGTTGCATCAGTACAGATAGAATAGGTCTGTGACTGTGTAATCCGCAATGCTCTAATTCAAATTGATGTTCGCCGATTGATAGTTTATACTCAGCAACATCTGGTAGTTCAATTGGTAAAATTTGACTACCAACTGACTATATATCTAGTCGTAGAACTCAAATTTCATGAATTGAAAACAAATCCGCGTGTTTGAGCATATTAATTGAGTACCAATTCTTGTGTGGTGAATTCAGTTTGAGAATCAGGCTGGTAGTAAAATTTTGAAATAAGGTACTTGGATTTGATCCTATTGTGTAAGTATTGGAATATCAAACTTACCCTATGACTTTGTTGTCAATAAGTTGGAAAGTCCGGCATCACACAAACTTGAGTGTTTGTGTCACCTTGTAATTTCACATGGCATCTAATATATGCTAACTGAAGACACCTTCAAAACCTATTTCTTTTTCGATAAATTTAATAGCATGAACAATTTAGTGTTTATAGATAAAGAATGTATTTTCTTTTCTTCACCTATCATATTGAAAAGACCATCTGTTGCTTTCTAAGTACTTAAATCTGTAATATCGCTTAGAATATATACATGCCGGCAGTGTATACATTAACGCATCTGTCCATTTATACTAAGCGGCGTACATTCAACTCATGGCATAAGTATATATTCATCATGTCCATGAGTTAATAACTGCTTTATTGCTATTGGTTTTATACACATGTTTTTTTACAAGTTGGATACATTTAGTATGCACTTTATGGACAGAGAGTTATCAGTACATAACAGTGTTTTGTTTAACCCATTCAAGGGAATAACTCGTGAACTTTAAAGTAAAATAAACAATCGAACTTAAAGTCCCTGACACTGAAAGCATTCATGTATTAAATCTTTACCGCTCTTACGCACCACCATATTCATCAGTTTGTGAGTTATTTGTCCCTGATCATACCTCGTCGAAACACAAGCGAAATGACTCCATACATTTTGTCTGTTCATTCTCCTTGAAACCACGCACCTTCCATTCTCCAAACACTAAACGCATAGCTCAATCGTTCATGCGCCAAAAAGCAGCTACTGGATCCTGAGTTCGGATGTTTTTCATCGTTTCCCAGCACTTGACACAGGAAATCTATGTAGCGCGTTGCCAAGCGCAAAGTTTGAATTTTTGATAACTTATCTGACGGTAGAGTTGGAATTATTTTGCGCAGTTTCGCAAATGATTCGTTCAATGCTTGTGTTCGCATGCGTTCTCGCACATTTGCGATACAACGTTGTTCACTCTTTACACCACCTCCTGATTCAGTACCAAGACGTTTCTTCGAGCGTGTGCCACTACTCCGCCGTCCTTTTTTCTTTGCTTGTGAAGCATCCTGTCTATCACAATCTGGTAATCCCATGGTTGTATGTCGAAGCAGTCTAAAGTATTAGAGAGTATTTTTGTCACACTTTGAATGTCAATCACGAGTCCCAGTTAACCAAATGTTGGTTTGCGTCAAGCAAATGACCTGCTACGCACCGTTGTGAAGTCTTAAATAAACAAAGGTCTAAGTTTACATGCAAAGACAGATGAAATCAAGCTTCTGGGGAAATCAGACGCAAAGCCAATCAGCGCTCATGTCGAGCCGTCAATGGGATACTTGACATGTATTGCTGAGTTAATTGTGTGATATAATTATGAAGATACTGATACAGCGCCGCACGTCAACTTCGCGGGGACATCAAAGGGGGCCATCACACCGCAGAACTTGCGTGTTCAAGACGCGGTAAATGCAAATAAGCACTTTTGCGTGACCGGAGGGCCAATTGAATCTCTTTTTCCACATGACTGCCCGAAATCGAATAATTTTAACTCTTAGGTTTTAGCCAGTGGTGTGTGGAGTCTAGCTAAGTTTGTAGTTTTCACAGCTGGCAAGGGAGTATACAATCTCGATGTATCAATTATCACAGGAGTGAGTATAAACGAAGCGGCGGGACTCCTGGAATGTCCAGGGCATTTTTGCGTCTGTGCTTGTGGATTCCTCAGAAGTATGGCCAAAAATAAGCATTTACGGCTAATGAAGTGATCTGATGAGTGCTTCAAGTGTTCAATTACATGAGCTGAAAGATGGCAGAGATCGTTGATCCTAATCAAACCTGTTGACCTTTCAAACACTTTGTTAAACACTTCAAACCTTTCCCAATTGGAAAAACCTTGTTTGCACATTGTTTTATAATTTTTCACACATTGTAAAATGATTTTAAACATATCACAATGGGAAGAGTATAAAACCTTTAAAAAGATATTGAAGTTACATGCAACGTACTGATATCGTGACCAACCAGTACACGCCTCCGGCCGGTTTCGGTATTCTCAAACAAATAATATAAAAACGTATTAATTAACCTTGAAAGTTCATTTTAGTGTAAGTAATCATTCATAACTGGAAGTATACAACCTTTGCAGCAAGAATGAGTAACTTAACCAAAGGTTAAGACCATAATTTTCTCTGTAGTTGTACTAATTATCTTGAATGTAAAAGGACTGGAGCAATTCCATTCCGATAGAGAAGTACAACTAATTGTTAGAGGGTTAAGGGTTTTGTTGGTGGAAATTTCAAGTGTAAATTTTATACATTTCAAATTAGACCGAACCAGGAGGAGCAGTTGCCCTGCGATTCCAGTGCAGCGCTCAGTAACGGGCAACTGAGCTATACAGAGTCCAGATGTCGAGTTCTAACCGCAAGTTCATGTATCTATTTACTGTGATACCAATGTAAGGTGTATGTTGATAGTAAAATCCTCAAAACCTTCAATAAAATAAAGCGACTGCTACGCAGGCTATGATTAGGTCTAATGAATGTATAATATATTTACACTCGAAATCTCCATCAACAAAACCCTACCTTGGGTACTTATATATATATATATGTTGATGGTTAAAATTGCTAAATAACTTAATGATGTAAATGCAATAGACCCTTTGCACTGACGTCACAAATCCTTAGAGTGCCCTCCAGTCGCAGGTGCTCCTTAACCATATATGTTCGGGTACAACAACCACATACAGCCCAAAAATGAACCATTTTAATACAAAATTATTATAAACTTTTGCAAAATTTGCTTTGTTTACAAAAGTTATATTATGCATAATTGCTAATTTGTCCTCCAGATGCATCGTCGCCGGCGCTGTGACGTCATGTGCAAAGGGTCTATACATGAATAATTGCTGAGACTAAAATTGAATCACGCCAAAGTGTTTAGGTCACGATATGAATGTTCTTGTAAATTATTCTCAGTGAGTCGGAAGGTCATCGATATAGTGTGCATGAATAAGTCGAGGGAATGCCGGTATGCGAATATTACGACTATAGTGAACGGCTAAGACGTATCAAAGAAATTAGGAACACAGAACACTGATTAAGCGTGGTTTATTTTTTGGTCAGAAGCACATGTGCCCCTAACCTGACCTAATTAACCTTTAAGCTTTACATCTTGCAAATAGCAATAATAGTATTAACAATAATTTATCAATTCATTTCCATTTCGCCAGCGCATTACAATAATTATACAATATTTTGTTGTTAAAATAGGTTGAAATACGGGTATGAAGTATCCTACATTTACCCTCGTGGCTCATGCATGCGTATATGAAAAATTACACTACCAGCAGCCTTTATTATGGATGTAACAATGCCTAAAAAAATAGTGTTATCCATAGTTAAAGAAGTCAGCTTAATCATGATATTGAATTGAATACTCGCCCTACACTCAGTAGCGCTGCCAGAATTTTAGTTTTGGGGGGCAGCAACTAAATAATTTGTGGGTCACATGCAGGCCGGCGTAGCTAGACGCGATAATTAGGGGGGCGGGGGGTGTATATTCATATATCCATGTTCACATTCCGTAAAAACAATCGATTTCATATACCCCCCCCCCCCCTCCCACAATTATCGGTCTAGCTACGGCCCTGGTCACATGGCATGAAGCACCATTTTCTGCATGAGAAGAATGCCGTCAAATAATGATTTCAGGATACTTGACCTTAATTCAGTAGGAGACATAGTCACACAGAGCTTTATACTAGCACAAATAGATTCTGTAGTTCTGCGAGTACGGACTTGGTAGATGCGCGACACTACTCCTGCGCGCAATCTCATGACATCTCTGCAGAAAATTTTCTACTCTTGTCCCAAATCAGTTTCATCGGATTTGAACGAATTCAAAACTACACTCTGAAAAATATTAGGTATGTAACGGCCGCCCCACTTTGTCCCTCCCCCCCTGGTAGGGCCATTGCCTACAGTGGAATACAAGAAAATAACTTGTAAACTACAGCTTTTGTTTGTTAAACCATCGTATAAATATCACACCAGATCAAAACATACTCGTTTATTATCGCATTAAGCACAAATAAAACAGCTGTGAAGTTGATTTCCTTAATCCGGATGTTGCATGCTTTTTATTCACTTATAAATAATAACTGCGGCTTTTAAGACAAATGGGAAGGAAAGCGGACTTCCCACGTATTAAAGTGTTTGTTATTCAAAATGTGTCAAGCACTTCGCACAATAATTTCAATAAAATTGCACCTTAATAACGTCTTTATCGGTAACTTAGGCATTTAGGCAGCTTCCATTAAGGTGTGCACGATGGGTTGATAGCGAAGAGAAATTGGTTGGGTACAAATCTCTTCAGTTTTCGACTCAACCTAGACTGATTTTGGGAACTGTTCATTACAGTTATGCCTCGGAGTGACACGAAAGAGAAATGCAGGTAGGTTGGGTAATTCATTTTTCCACCCATCTTATATAAAATTTGGAAAATAAAAGAAAATTTGAAGAGGAAATGACTCGTGTAGTCTCCTCCGCAGGCATCTTTATAAGGGTCGATTTACCCTAATTATTTTGTGATCTTTATGGGTAAAATAATAAGGTCAGTGTCAGTCGTTCTGCTTTGAACACACGGTACAATAATGTTTCATTTACATGAAGTATAGAAAGCTTCATTTTCAGTTTGAATTATATGTTCAATGTTGCCCTATAAATAGTATTACAAAACTACCAGAACCGCGCTGGATGTGAAGGTAATTTAAACACATTGTGCAATGCCCTTGTGTTATTCTTGCAATTACTAGACAAAAATTTATGCCTCGCTGATCATGAGTTGGGTAAAAATATCTGAAGCCTTAAAATGGTTCATTTTTCATTGTTTAGTCCCAATAGACCTTACCGATTATTCTCTTTTACCCAATGACCTCGTTTCCATGTTAAATTATTTTAGCATGTCAGGGGCTGATAAAGATTATATTCCCATGTTTTCCAGGGAATTAACATGGGAATATCATCGTTATCTGCCCCTGACATGTTAAAATAAGTTAACATGAAAACGAGGCCATTGGGTAAAAGAGAATAATCGGTAAGGTCTATTACCTCATTTTCCTGAGGTAAGTAAATACTGAAAGGTCGCTTGGTCATAGAGTGGAGTAATTCTTGCAAATCAGCAATCCATTGCGACACTGGAAGGTAAATGACGTAAATGTGTTTTAGTGATCTAGTTTATACCAGCACTAAAATGTCCTGATAGACCAAACTGAGTACTTTATTTAAACTCAAAGTTGATATCGGTTCAATTCTATAATAGCTATATGATTGGGGCCGGTATTGCAGACATAGATCTAACTAGTGAACATGCACACTTGATGTTCAGCTTATATCAGCAGTTTCTTTTCGACTGTTATTTGTGCTATTGAAAACGCTGTTAAACTATTGCGTTATGAAACAATGAAGATAACCACATTTTCGTTGAGAATTTCACTCTCTTGCGTTATCGATCGTTGGATTCATTAGGCCTGACCACGTTACTTAATTTGAATGAATAATTATTATTCATTCAAATAAATCATTATTATCAAAAAATTATTATTGATACCATTTTTTATAACTTGACATTGATTCGGTTATCTCGCACCCGCGCCATCTCGAATTTTCTTCTATTTCCATGGCCTTGGCTGTTGAAGATAGCAGGGGTCTATTGTATTCTGCCTTTATACTTTAATTGTTTGTTTGTTTGTTTGTTTGTTTGTTTGTTTGTTTGTTTGTTTGTTTGTTTGTTTGTTTGTTTGTTTGTTTGTTTGTTTGTTTGTTTGTTTGTTTGTTTGTTTGTTTGTTTGTTTGTTTGTCTGTTTGTCTGTTTGTCTGTTTGTCTGTTTGTCTGTTTGATTGATTGATTGATTGATTGATTGATTGATTGATTGATTGATTGATGGTTTGTTTGTTTGTTTGTTTGTTTTTGAGTTATCCCTGCAGTAATACTATATTAGTGTTTTATAATTGCTATCTGAGCCTGCATGCCGTCTTCATCTGGCAGTTGCTTCAGTCCATTTCATGCAAAGAGCGTATGCAGTGACGTCAATAACACG